TTGCAACCCTCGGTGTTGCACCCGCACCTCGCTCAGCCAGTGAGCGGGAACTGGTCTGTATGTGGGATCCGAACCCTCGGCGGGAGCGCCGCCGCACTTCCCAAGCGGTGCACTGTAGCAGTGCGCCACCGGGCCGGCCCCAGAGTCACCATTCTTGTCCCCATTTTACAACTGGGGAATTGAAGGTTAGAGATGGTTTAGTAACTTGCCCAAACTCATGTGGCTAAAAAGTGGTGAGGCTGGGACCTGAATCCGATTTTTCTGACTTTAGATATGTTGTCTCTAATAACTAGAGTTGTTTGGCTTTGTGAAAATAATACCAGTTAGTCATTCATTTCTCGAATATTCAATAATTGCTATCTACCAGGTTAAAATTTCAAACACGAATAAAACATGGAGCCTACTTCTAGGAGCTCAAAGAACAAGAGAGGTCATTTACAGTCATTTCCATGAACCATTTTCCATTTGTGAAATAAGGAAAATAATAGTTTTACTAATCAACAATTAGTAAGATGTAATACATAGTAACTTTAAGTTTTATGTAATCACAACAAGAAATCCTCTACGCGTATCGCTCAATAGTCAGATTGTTGGTCATACAGAATGGTTATCTGATGTTATAAAAGATCAGAGAGAACATCGGTAGTGAATATACCATTTAATTTGACCTGTGTAGAGTCCAGCAATTTTTATAGACTATTTTGGAAAGATGTATTATTACATTTCATTCTAGGTATGTGTCTCCCTGAATTCTCAAGATTTAGAATTCCAGATGACCATGCGATTTCAGACCTATCCATGTACAATTACATAGAGGTAAGTGAGAAGGTTTGGCTTCATTCCATGAGATGGTTCACTGATATTCTAACAAACGTTCTTTTCTTTTTCTTTGCTTCAGCCCCATTTCATGCATGTTGCATAAGAAGACTAGGTACAGACAAGAACACACACGCACGCATGCACACACACACACACACATATGCACACGTGCACAGAGCATTCCTTAAACATGGGCGGGCTGTGAGTATGTAACCAGGGACAAGGCCCACAAACATCATCTTTATCTACACATCACGGACATTTAAGAGGTAACAGAGATGACAAAATCTCTAATAATTCACAGGTTCAAATTTTAGACACTTAGTAGAGTTAGTAATATGCTATTTTAATGAAAATATAACTTTAAGATTTGTTAACATATTTAGAAAATCTAAGAAATGTTAAATGACCTTTCCACTCTTAACGTTATAACCTGCATATTTAGAGTAGCATTAAATATCCTTTGGTGCCTTATGCACTGAAAAAAATGTATTATGCCAAAGAAATTTATGATCAGAAAGATTAATACTTGGAAGAAAAACACATTAATTCCATTTTGAGCTAGTTGCATGAGAAGCTCATGACATGTTGTTGTTATGATAGTTTTTAAATAGTCAAATGAAATGACTTACAAGATAAATTTAAGGAAGAGAGTGACTAGCTGTTTTCCATTTCTCCTGGTGATGGAGAGAAATAAAGTGGACTTCATTTGAGTGAAGTCAGTTCTATGAGATACTAAGAGGCTTTATTAATATATCTTGCCTGAGCCTTTCAAAACAGAACAGCTACAACACAATATTTGTCCTGAATACGAACTTGGTCAAGACAGACATAGCTTTAAATAACTCCTTGTTGCCATAAACAATATGACAAACCAACCAAAAAGCAACAGAAATTAGTCAAATCCTTGGACTCACAGATTCAGTTGAACAAACCCTTTGTTGAAACAGAGTTCCTAAATTGACCCCTGAACAAAACAGTCTCACCTACCATGATCTGTGTGATCGCTGTACATTTTCATGGTAATGTCCTGTACTGTTGACATTTGCTAAGAGGCTTGACAATGACTCTTATGGAAATAAGAATTTACTTGACTACTTTGTGTTCAGGATTCTGGTGACTGGGAATGAGGAGTAATAATAAGTTGTACTAAGCAAACAGAGGTACATTTGTTAAAAATATTCTTTGACTCTTATATTATCGCAGATGCGAGCACATGTCAATTCAAGGTGGTTCATGTTTCAAAAGACCATTGAGAGATTTCTTCATGCCGTTATGCCATCTACGTTTATCCCTCTCTATTCCATGGTAAGGTCTGGATTTAACACTTTTCCTCACTTTAATCCTCTGTTTAGCCGTTAAAGAATATACAAAAATACTTTTTAAACTTCCCTACAGGTCACCTTTTCCAGAATAAGATACCACGAGGCAGTGCTGCGCTGGCGTTGGCAGAAAAAGGTTGGAACAGTTCACACTTAAAAAAAACCCAAAAGTGATGTGTTAGAGTGTCATAGTGTTGTGGTTATGTTTACTTTGGGCAAATACAGAAATGATGGGACAGACACCAAATGTTTGCCCTTCAAGTAAAAAATGTCCTGAGTACACAGATGGCAGGAGCCTACTGAACATTCCAAAGAAGGGACAAAGAAAGGGAGTTTTTGAAGGGAAGAAATTGAAAGAAAAAACAACTGATGCTAATATTTCTCAACTTTTTACTTTATTTTGGCAATGTGAATCATTCTTGACTTTTGTTTTGTGCAATCTGTGTATGGCTCCAATTTGTAAAATTGAACAGAGCTGGCTCACTTATAAAACAATACCTAATTTCGATGTAATGCTACGATACATTCATTTTGGGCAGTTGACCCAGAGATGCCATTAAATGGAATTCAGATTCCTCATCTTCCACTTTGGGAATTTTACAACTTCATTCATTCAACAAATAGTTTTATTTAGTGCATAGACATTGAGCTGGGCATGTTAATGAACAAGACAAGGTCCCTACCCCTCATGTAGCTCAGGGGACAACTGCACTGGAGAGGGATGCACTGTCCGTGGGGACAGTGGCCAGGACAGGTGAAGGCTGAAGAAGCAGGAGGCAGCACATCTGTGTGAGAGTGGCCAGAGTGGAACTGGAGAGGTAAGCTGGGCCTTAAGCATCTTGCATATTACCTGGAGAGAAACAGGGAGACTAAAGGAGGCTAATAGATGTGGGTCTGCATTTTCTTTTTCTTTTTTTTAATTTATTCATTTTTTTTATGAGAAGAGGAGATGCTGGAATATTTATTTTTCCATTTGAAGAGATCCACAGAGACAGAAATTTTTATAGCTTGAAGTTCCAGAAAAAGTGCAAACACTGACACCTGGTCCTGAGCACATGTTGACTTTGATGACTGCCCCACCTTCCTGGTCAAGAACTGGACCTGTCTTGTTGGAATACTGGAGCTAGAGTCTTAGATCTAGTGGGGAAATTAAAGCCATGGATGCCAGTAGGTTTGCTTGATCAGCTCCTCAGCTGTTGAATCCAGCCAAGGGAATGCCTCTTCTAGACTAAGTCAGTTTCTGAGGCTGGAAAGTCCAAAGTCCATCTGGTGGTGGCGACAGTGACCCAGGGGCCTCACATTGCAAGACAGCAGAAGCAGAGAGAACAGAGAGATCGTGGGTCTGGATTTTAGAAAGCTTACTTTACTGTGTGGAAGGAATCAGGATTTATCCATACAAAGATGAGTAATACAGGGTCCCTGCCCTCCAGGAGCTAGAAGTCTAAAAGGGGCAAGAGACAGTGGCGGCCAGTTAGAGAATGCAGTGATAGAAGCAGACCAGGTGGTCAGGGGTGCACCTGACCAGAATGAGCCCCAGGCAGTGGTCTTTGCACTGGGGGTGTTTAAAGTCTTTGGGTGACTATCTTCTCAGTCATAGGGGCCACCAGGCTCACCTGGAGACTTGGTGCGACATCTGAGAAGTGACTGAATTGTTAGTGGCCTTGGCACAGTATGCTTCTAAGACAGAATTTCCAGCTGCTTTTCTAAGCTGCAGGGTCTTTTTATGGCTGTACAAAGGCTGACTGCTGAGAATTTCTCATACAAACACCTAGGTTCAGGAGGTTCCTTGGAGAGAGGGAGAAGGGATGTTCCCAATTCTTGACCTTATCTTGACTTCATCAAGTCTTTACCTACTGGTCATACAATGAAATTGCTGTTTCAGGTTAAAGACCAAAGAGAAAAGTGTATACTCCTTTGTTGATTAAGAATGAAGTCTATTTCATGATTTTAATCTCTGGACAAAGGAAATGAAAGTTCTTGCTGTCTTTACAGGTGATAAACAAAGGACTCTGTTTCTTTGGCTCACTGATGGCCATCGGTAGCACCTATCTGCTTGTGCACTACATGTCACTGAGACCTCTAGGTGATTTAAGAAGACTGTGGATCTGGATCACTCACTTCCAGAATACAGGCCATGTTTCCCTGCAGACTCCATGGAATCACTAGAAAAACTTCTCCGTTTTGTTAGCAGATGATATAAAGGTTCTGAGGTAGCAAATGCCTGATTTCTCTGTGAACAAAATTAAGGATCAAAAACATGTTTCCATCATCATTTAATTTCACTAATGGAAGATAGTTGTCAGCTTAGAATTAAATTCAATGAAGAATTTCTCTGTGTGTTAATTGCAATTATGGGGGGGGGGGGAATCCCATTTTTTAGGTTGCAACACACAGCTTCCCCAGCATATCATGCATGCTCAGGTTGGGTTGTTCTAAGTCTAACAACAGTGCAATGGCTAAGATCTCTTTCACTTCTCAAAAAGTAAGGCCCCAAGACACTGATCACGATTTTCCTTTAAAGGACATAACAGCACTCACAATAGGATTGACTCAGCACCTGGAACTAGAAATCTCAACTTGTCTAACATGTTAATCACACTTTTCATTACCTGAATGAAACTTATCTAACCACAGCACTCAGATTCAAACCAGAAGTGTAAATAAAGAATTCAGAGGAGTTCCAGATAGTTACAAAATGAATCCATTCTATTTCTCGGTCTTCAAATGGCTATATTCCCTTCCAAAAACAAGAAAAGGGAGTCTGTTAATGCCATGCTAAGTGAAAGATAGAAAAGGGTTTTATTCATAAATTAAATATCTATATATACAAGACAGTGGAAAGAAGACAAGGAAGACAGCTTTTATAGAAATATGAGTCATATTTTATTAGATTTCACACCCTCAGAAACAATGTAGTGACTTACTCTTGAACAACATACTCTGGCAGAACCAGCAATAAACTTGATTTTTATAAGTACATTTACTGAAAACATTTTCTTTGGTTTTTCCTTCTTCAATAGGCTGACTGAGTCATTTAGAAATCCTTCGAACATGATCAATTATGAAGATGCAAAACTAGGAGGAGGGTCCTCTAAGAAATAAAAATTAAGCAATAAAATAAAATATTCAGTGTTTCTTTTCTATATTGTCAAAGAAATCCTTGAGTTTAATAACTCATGTTTAGTTTGTAGGGGACGGAAATTTTTTTTTTTTTCCTTTTACCCATCTTAGGTTCATTGGCTGGGGCCCCTATAACAAAAGACATTAACAAAAGAAAAACGAACAAAAGCTTTTAATGTGTATATATTACAAGGGAGATACCCAGGAAATGAATAATTCTCCAAGGGCAAGCGTAGAATTTCCTGGCATCTTCGACCCAGAAGAGTGAATTTTTAGAGAAATGATAAGACATAGGAAAAAGCCTTTGAGGCTCTAGTGGCAGCAAATTCTAGGAAGGCAAGTAAATGGGAGTTTGTTACGTAGATTGCTCTGGTGCAGTCTCCAGGATGACAAAAGTCTAGAGTTGTCTCTGGCGATCAACCTTGTTCTTCCTGGTAGAAAGTGGAGCAGGACACTTCTGTAAATTCATGTCCTGCTTTCAGGCAAATGGGGGAGGGCACAGAGTTTTCTTGTATCTGCTTCTTCTCAGTTGCCTTCAGCTCAAAATAATCTTTAGGCCAAAGGGGCATATTTAGGGGTAGCATATTCTGGTCTCCTACAAGACTAAACAATGATGCATGGAAAAATGGCTTCTTCACTAACACTGATGATCAATTATCCAGTGGGCTGATTGATGAGCAATGAAGATTAATTAATACATTTTATGAATATTCTTCTACACCCATTCCATCCCCTTTCAAATGTAAGTTTACTTGGAATTCCTTTTCTCAATCCAGAACTCTTGGCCAAACTGTGGGAAATTATTAAAAGGAAAGGATAATCCTCCCACAGTTATGTTTGAAATGAAATATATGGAGATACTGATCGACCGTCAACCTCATCTTCACCATGTACATCCTCACTATTGTATAATTAACTATATACCATAATTACCTGAAATTAATCATTCTATTCTCTTTGCTATGATGCTTCTTAGCAGTGTCTTCTAGAGCTTGCTGAGTAGCATGTTAATCTGAAGCTCCTTTTTATCATAATAGACATATACAACAGTCTTTTGTTTAAATAAAGTCAGGGGATTGATTTTTCTTTTTTATCATAGTATTATCTCCTTGATAAATTTGATTTGGTCAAACATATGGCATGACACTGAGTAGTATCCAATACTACAGAAAATTCAAGATTTTCTAGCTATTTCACTCATGTGCATGAGGCAAGGTTATTTTTACAACACAATATTTTTAAGAAAAATGTATTATGTGCCTTGGAAAATATAGTCATTTAAAAAATATATTTGAAATGAAAATTCCCAACATGTTAGAAGATGATGTTTCCAGATGTCCACCTTGTGCCACAAATAGTTTTTCATTATGTAAAGCACCTGTTAAATTAAAAGAATTCATCTTGCTCAATGGTTTCCTGACGCCAGAGAGCATATGGTCATTTCAGACTTCCTGCTGGGTCATAAAAGTTCTGTTGATATACACAGAATGGGGATTTCAGAACAGTCCTTATCATAGAAGTCCAAAAGGGGTGTCCAATTTAAGGCTCCATCTTTCATTACTATAACTCATTACGATAAAGGACGAACTTGGATTACATCAACCTTGGACCCATTGGTTTTGTTACTGTCCTCAACTGATAGTGATTCATCACTGGTGATGATAAAAATGATGGAAGAAGAGTTAAAAGTCACTTTTTTCTTTGGCCTGTCCCCGTCTTTCTGTGACATCACAATGGGTCTGATCTGCATTTCACTCCCCTCTGCTGGTAGGTCTTTAGCAGGCCGCTGGCATCTCAGCAGTCGGAAACATAGAAGCTGTAAAAGAGATCTTCGAAACTGGGCAGAGAGAAAATAAAGTTAAATATTAAGTAAAAGTATGGCCTTTAATCTGGATTAACATTCAGGAAAATTAGTTGAGCTTAACTTGGGTTGTTTTTTGTTTGTTAGCTGATGTGGGTATGGGTTTACGTGATAATACTCAGGTCTACTTAAGTCACCCTGGAGTTTTATGGTTTTTATTTATGGCAATTCACAATTTATTAGACAGACCACAGAGGACTATTTCAATACCTTGTAATCTTCATAGCTTCAATTTGTAGTCACCTTCTATGAGGGCAGCTAGATCTGTTCCTTGGAGGAATTTTGAACATTAATTTGTCCACAAATATTCAGTGAGTACTTAGGAGGTGACAGCCACTGTGGTGGATTTTAGAGATATGGTAAGCAACAAAGACAGACGAGGCCCTTTCTAGCAAAGTTTACAGTGTGGTATACTCACTATGTTCCTTTAAGTAGAGAATTTTTTTCTGTCAAGATTACTAACCAGGTGGGGGAAAAATACTACAGCAGGGAGGGCTAATGTCACTAAGACCCACAATTCTTCAATGTGTCCAGGCTGAAGTATACTTCTCAGCCCCCTTTCAGAAGCTTATCTCTTCTCCTTCTACCAAAACCTTCAATGCTGAAGTCTGACAATGGTAACATCATAAAATGGAAGGAACCTACATTCCTAAATGACTGCACAGGCCAGATCCCATCTCCACCCCCAAATGCTTAGACTGTGGACTCTGACCCGAGTGAGCAATAGACACTTTCTGTGCTAATCCACTGAAATCTTGGGCTTGTTTGTTACAATAGTGGGTCTATCATGACCGATAAAACACACAAATAAAAAGCTAATGTAATTGTTATCCCCTTTGTTTATAGCAAAATAAAAGTTTAATACGTGCGCTTTCCCAGATCAAGAAATATCAGTAAAACATATAATAAATAGATGTATTGATTTTTGTCTTCTTTGATCCCCAGTTACATGCAAATTACTATTTAGTTTATACTCACATTTTCAAATATTTGTTTCAGACTTTATTCACCAAACCATTGTTTGGTATTGTTAAGTGCTAAAGATACAGTATTATAAAGGCTAAATAGAGTATGTATGTCAAAAAATGTTTTTTCAATGGCCAGTGTGTGCGGGCGACACCAAGCCAGGGGTTACAATCCCCTTACCGGTCACAAAAAAAAAAGTTTTTTCATATAAATGGTAAACTTCGAGGAAAAGGATCATTGTCTTATTTATTTATTTGTTTCCGTTTGTTTGTTAATTGTATCTTTTAGACTTCCTGCTTAAAGTGTGCTCCCAGGAGCCAGAAAATCTAGGACCATGTGGGAGCTTGTTAGAAATGCAGAATATTGGGCATCAGAATTTGCATTTATTTTTTACAGGATTTCCAGGTGTGGTGTAAGCACATTAAAGTTTTAGAAGCACTTATTTATAGCCCATGGGATGAGAGAGAGGATGCAACATAGAATTGTTAGTGAATGTATTTAAAATTTGTCTATTGAGGTAGTGGTCCTTAAAGTATTTTACACTCCTACGGAAAATTAATTAAAGTTATAATCCATCTCACTAGAAAAATTCACATGTGCACATACTCAAAAAGATTTTGTAAACAATTTCAAGAGTTTCAATGGCTCTCCTGAGGCCAATTCAAGGAATTCTTAGTTTCTAAGGATTCCAAGTTTAAAATCTCAGGGTTAAAGGAAATAAACAAATAGAAGGCACCAAGAAAGGGAGAGAAAGACCATCGGTAAAAGGAAAGTGAAGTCACGTGAGAGCGAGCTTATGAAGACGGTAAGCCAACAATATTCAAAGAAAAGGAAAGGTGTAAGAAGAGAGATGGAGATTTAGTGCTGAACGTGGTAAGGTCTATATAAAAGTGTCCTCTTTCTCCAAATTCTTGAGCATTAGAAGTCAGAGCAAATATTATTGCCTGTTATTATCATGACCCGTTACATTTTAAATTGCAGTAATTATATTCTTAATTTTTACATTCTCCGATCTTTAAACTTTGTAACTTAGAGGCTCAGGTTTATATTAACTATATTGAGGGCTCTCATAGCCATGACTGACAGCCACCAAGTCAAAACCTTTCTACTAGAAACAGATAATGAGTTTCCCAACAGACCTAAAGTAAATTTCCTGAGCCAAATAAATCATGAACAGACACTGGCTGTGGCATGTGTATAACAACCCAGACCAATTGCTGAAATATCTATAACCCCAAGTGAGGAATTCTAAGCACTGGATTAGGGGATTCAAGCAAACCAGGTTCAAATCATGGTTCCAACATTTTCAGTGTTAGGCAAATTATTTAACTTCTCTGAAGCTATTTCATAATCCACAAATAAAATAAGGGCCTATTTCGTGGAGTTTTTTAAAGATAATAGGTGTAACCTGTTTAATACAGTAAGAATTTTAAATATATGCTTAGTTTTGTAGCTGTTATTATTACTAGGCATAAAATATTTTCTGATTAATTAAATATTAATTTTAATCAAACATTACCTAACAAGTATGAACCTCTATTCGTAGGTTATTATTTTCTTTGGAAATATTCTGTTTCTTTCTGAACCCTTTACTTTCCTATACAATTCTTGATTGAGGTTTTTATCATTGAAACTGCTCTTAATCACCTCTATAAAAGTATTTTATTTTCCAATCCCACCACTAGGGTGCGAGCATTCAGTTAATTGCAAAGCTTACCTTTCTGATCATGAAGATATAAATAACTGGATTGTACACAGTGCTTGATTTAGCAAAGAAATACGAAACAATAGACATTGTTGGAGTTACCAGATGTCCAGAACCATTAACCACCAAGAAACAGATCACAATATAAGGCGTCCAACAGACCAGAAAGGTGAATATCATAAAAAAGCACATTTTGGCCACTTTCTTTTCATATCTTAAAATCTTGATCACTTGAGTTGTCTGAAGATCTTCAACACAACGAAGCTGTAGAAAGGAGAAAAAGGAAGGGGTTGAAAATGAAAGAACGTTTCTTTCCATTGTTTTTATAACAGATACTCAGACACCATTCGTGGCCCTGCCTTAATGGAAAAAGAACTGAATGGAACTTGAGACACTGACTTTTGATCCAAGACCTGCAGCTGGGCCCAGCTGTAATCTCTCTGGGCCTTGGTCTCCTCACCTGCAACATATTATAGTTGTAACATGTTATGGTAGCATCTTAGATCCTTTAATGGTTTTTAATGCTTTTCTGATTTACTTAATAAGAAGAAAGTGAATTTTTTTGCCTAAGCCTTCAAGGCACTTTAAGATAGCCCAAAGCTGTCATGATAAAATGCAAACAATTAATGCAAACAATTTTTCCATGATCCTGGAAACTCTTTTATCTAGAGCATTAATCCTCAAGTTCTCAAGCCAGGCAGCAAACCCTCGTCATGTCAGGAGTTCCTCAAGGTTAGGCCTGTAGCTGGTCTTCACGAGGACTTAATCTCCAAATGAATTCTTGCTGGAAACTGCTGTGTCTTTCAATTCACTGTGGGATTTGATGAGAGGGAATCTGTGGTTGGTTTCATCAGGGGCTCATTTGTAGAGGACAGTACTTTATAAAACCTAGGGAGTCCACTTCTCTAAAATCAGGATATCCACTCCTAGTTTGTCCCTATTAAAGGTATTGAGAAATAACGATCTACATTCTGAAGGTTCTTCGAGTTTCTTGGATAAAAGATTCTTTAGATGTTTCTCCTGTAATTATTATAAACATGTTGTTAAGGTGAGGGAAAGAATATTCCTGCACACCAAAACTATGTTCTTAAATAAAAACTAAAATTTCTGATCATTGCAAGATGTCATAAGAATTTTGTGACAAAAAAAGATGCCTTATGTATTGATTAAAAAGAGTTATCTGCCATATTGTTGGTACTTAGTATTGATAATTTCAAACTGGGAAATTTATTGCATTTCAATGAACTCTAAGTGTAACTTTTTGTTCTAGAATTATCATAAAAATTAAGGGAAAATTGTCCGAAGAAGTCGTTTAGGACATGTGCTTATGGTATCCAAAAATAAATTTGAATTGATATTCCTAAATTATTGATACCACCTAAAATTATATTTAATAAACTATACTCTTATTTAAATCATGGATTCGGATTCACAAAGAACAGAGAAAAACATGGAAAATTAGAATGGTCAATTGTTTAACAGAGAATGTGGGGGGGCAAGTGGGTATTAATCTTTTGATACTATTGTTATCTATGTGTGCAATTCTATTTTTTAAAAAAACCATTTAATTTAATGTGATAAGACATTATTCTATTTTCAGAACATTATTTTTGGGGGAGTGGGTTCTCCTAGAGGTTATAGTTAAAAGGTTATACCAGGTTCCGGTAAAAGCTCTAGATTTGAAATTAGAAGATCTGGGTTCATATCCCAGATTCACCACTTTTGCTCCCAACATGATCATGAGCAAGTTGATTCCTTTCTCTAAGAATGAAGATGAAAGGAGGTTAAGATGATAACCTCTTAGAATTAACAGAACCTGGCTGGGTTCTAGTGCCACGTGTATGACTTTGTGGGTTATTTTCAAGAATAAATATTTATTCACATTTGAAACTAACATACTTATATCCATATGTACTTTTATGATACTATAGGATATTTGGAATCATGACTTTGACTTTTCGGAGTTTTACTAAACTAGTAGTCCAACCACATGTCAAGTATCTGCCTTCTGAGCCCCCACGATCCAGGTCCAACAGCTGTGTCTGTACCACTCTCTGGGCAAGTCGGCCCCCGTCCTGTCTCACCATTTACCAAAGCAGAGTGATCATTGATCACCTTGGAATTATATGTCTGCTGGAGAAGTCAGATTTAGCAAATGCTGACCTATACTTCCCCAGTTGGTATAAGAAGATCCCAACCAGTGTTGCAGATCATTTGGGTTTGTGTATGTGAAGTTTCCATGATTGTTTTTCATTTCTCTCTTTTTAGCTTGTTTTATCACTCTCTATGCCTTCCCTCTGCTCATTAAGCATTTTCCAAATAAAGGGCTCTGCTTCAAGTCTCATCCCCTTTATTGAATCATTTGAGGATATTTTTCAAAATCACTATGCATGAAGCAAGAGCACATGCACAAAACTGTCCCTAAAGAATGAGCCACTTAAGACAAATTCTCCAGAATTCCCTCTAAAAATGTTCTCTGCTCATATAAAGGGCTGATGCTTAGTGCTTACTGATCCAGACAACTGTGGATCACCAGAATTCACTGAGTCCGTATTCTCAAGTGAGTAGCTATGTCTCCATCACTGTTGCGAGTCACCCTCCTCTGAATGAGGAAATAGAGGCAAATTACTTGCACTGGAGTTCTCTTGAGGTGATAGCTCAGTCTTTTCACACTTTCACTGTGTCCCCTTTCTGTGCCCTCTGCTTGTAACTCGTCCCCCAAATAGTCACGGATCACCTGTTCTGGCTACAGATGAAAAAAATAAGTAAGACTTGGTCTCTGATCTTGAGGAATTTGCTATTTGGTGAGGGTGGCTGGCACATGAACAGACTGCTTCAGTAGGTGACCATGAGGGAGGTGACCAGAGAGGGCTGTGGGAGTAGACGGGATGGGTGACCAATTCTGAGGGTGGGTTACAGCAAGAAAATCCTGACCTCAGCCTTCTGCAGTGACGAGGAGTGAGCCAAGTAAGTAGGGATAGAATGGTCCAGAGGAAGTAAGCACACTAAGGCAAAGAGGCAAAAAGACACATGACACATGACACGTTCTGGGAACAAGAGATATTGCAGTTGGCTGGAGCCTGAGGTGTCAGGAGGGGAGTGTCAAGAAATGAGGCTGGATGGGTAGACAGGAAGTGCCACCCAGGACCTGCCAACTTCATCCAGGGGCTTTATTTTTAATCCTGAAGACGATGAAACCTCTGAAGGTAATATCAGAACAATCCTCTGGTAGCAGTGAGCACAGAGTGGATTAGAGGAAATTGAGAATAAAGAAAGGACAACTAAGGTCCTTTGAAACTGAGTCTATGGCAGTGGGAGAGGGAAAAAACAGCTACAGGAAAAATATTTAAGTGGAATAGGTAAGAATTGATCATTAGTTGAGTGTAGGGGGAAGACACAGATGAAGAACAGCCAAAAATTACTCCCTAACTTCTGGCTGAGGCAGCCAGGCAGAATGAGCATTCATGAGAAAGATGACGGAGCAGTAGCAGCTTTGGGGGTAAGATGACAAATTAATCTCCATGTATGTTGAATGTGACGAGTCTGTGGACCACCCAAGTGGAGGTGTTCAATAGGCAATTGACTGTGAGGATCTGATAGAGGTCAGAAGACAGACCTGGATTGCAACTAGAGATTTCAAGTCATCAAGCTTTCGTTGGAAGGAGAAATCCCAGCAGTATGTGAGAGCGCCCAGTGCCAGCGTGGAGCGTGAGATAAGCGCCAAGCTCGAAGGCTGGGGAAGCCCAAGGAAGGAAGACACGCCTTTGAAGGAGACCTAAGAATGAGGCAGAGAGTTAGCAATAAAGACAGCAGAGGATGGGGTCCTAGAATCAATGGGAGGAGAAAGTCAGAAGAAAGTGGAAGTCGTCAACAGCCCCAAATGCCACAGATACCAGATAAAAACAGAAACACAAATGCGTCTACTGGATCTAACATCTGGGCGATCATCAAAGACTGTGCATGAGGACTGTTTCAGTGGAAATGTGGTAGAGCAAGGAGGCAGCCGTTTGCGATGGGTTGGGGAATAAATGCTAGATGAATTTACTCAACTACGATCTCCTTGAACTATGACAAACGTATTTCTCACAGTTCTGGGGGCTGAGAAGTCCAAGATCAAAGTGCTGCCAGGGAGATTTCAGTGTGAGGCTCTTCTCTTCGCTCCTCTCTCACTGTGTGCTCCCACACCCTCTTCTTTATGCACATGTTGGAGGGGGGCGAGCATGAGCACACTAGCTCTCTGGTATCTCTTCTTATAAGGACACTAATCCCATCAGACCAGAGTCCACACTCATGACCTCATCTAACCCTGATCACCTCCCAAAGGCCCCAGTCTCCAAATATCATCATATTGGGGGTAAGGGCTTCAACACAGGAATTTGGTACAGACACAAACGTTCAGTCCATGTCAGTAAGCAATTGGTACAGTTTAGATGTGCACTAAATATTGGCTAAATGAATGTTTACTGAGTGACAATATGGCATCAAAAGCCACCAATGGTTCTTTGAGTTAGCGGTGACAAGGAGAGAAATCAAGCAACAGTTAGAGGGAGCTGAGAGCAGATTTTGCTTTTGTTTTAAATTAGCATGGACACGTGCTAAAGGGAAAGAACCAAGAGTAAGGGAGTAAGAAAGAGACTGAAGATATAAATGGAAGAGAATATTATTATACTCGAGAGGGGTGTCTGGGGCAGAGAATTGGGGGGAGGGACTATAGGGCGGACAATCAGAATATAGGATAAGCTTGGTCCGAAGAGACCGCTCCTGTCATCTGTAACTGAGGAGAGAGGTCTAAGAATCAGTGCAGACACAGGCTTGTACATAGGGAGGCAGGGAGTTGAGAAAGTTCCTGATAATGGCTTGATTTTTGCCCACTAGGTAAGAAGCATGATTGTTTGATAAGGATGGGCGGATAATAGGGCAGGTATTCAAATGAGAGCTGAGGACTTGCGACAGCTATGGTGTGGACAGAACGGACATATAGGGACACAAAGATTGCTGGACGGGGCTGGGAGGACATTGGAATATGGACTCGTGTGGTTTTTCTTCCAGCTCCTCTTTGCAGCTTGACTTTGGGCATGGAGGAGACAGATAGTTGGATTCATATAGGGATTTTTTTTTTCTTTCAACATAATGGGTGTGTGTAAAGAAAGTAGGAACACAGAAGGTGAGGGCAAAGAGTCACGATGTACACTGATACATGTGGTTAAGTTTGATTAAAAACAAAAGGTGAACTCTAGAGGGATCTGACAGTGAGCAGGAGACAGGGACTTCTGAGGACAGCAGAGAACAGATGAGAAGGCAGAGGCGGTGAGAGAGGAGGAAAAACACGATGGCTGAGGCTGGAGACTGGGGTCTGGAGTGCGACCCAGCTCTGCTGGTTCAAGCATCTTTCTTGCTGATGCTCATTGTGAAATGATTGTGGTCAGCTCTTGTCCTTTATGACTCTAACGTGATTTCCAGACAAAACACCTGTGCCACTCTCTAGCAGTGGGTTCATGTGACCTTTAAATAGGTAAAATTATGGGAAGTGTGGAACTCCCTTTTTTAAGAGGTCTTAAATTCTAAGAATGCTAGATAATGTAGGGTTTTTGTTGTTGATTTTGTCTGTCCAGAACCCCTTTCCTTCCTTCTTTTGGTTTAGAGAGAGTGGTGTAGAGAGAGTAAATGTAATTCCTCATCGATCTTGTCAGAGAGTGACTGATAATACAAAATGTTACCAAGTGGAAATTCCACTGGAGCTGCTCCAGCTCAACTACTGATCACGTGGAAGAGCTTGATTCTTTTCTAGGAAAACGTTTCCACCCTAAACAAAAGTCTGAAAGCACAAGCAACAAAAGAAAAAATAAACAAATGGGATTATATCAAACTAAAAAGCTTTCTGCACAGCAAAGGAACAATCAGCAGAGTGAAATGACAACCTACAGAGTGGGTGAAAATTTTTGCAAACTATGCATCTTACAAGGGATTAATATCCAGAATATACAAGGAACTCAAGCAATTACACAGTAAAAAATAAAACAAAACAAATAACCCAATTAAAAAAAATGCAAAGAAGCTGAATAGACATTTTTCAAAGGAAGACATACAAATGGCCAACAGGTACATGAAAAAATGTTCAACATCACTAATAATCAAGGAAATGCAAATTAAAACCACAGTGAGATACCACCTCACCCCAGTTAGACTGGCTATTATAAAAAAGATGGTGAATAACAAATGCTGGCGAGGATATGGAGAGAAGGGAACACTCCTACACTATTGGTGGGACTGTAAATTAGTACAACCACTATGGAAAACAGTATGGAGGTTTCTCAAACGACTATAGATAGATCTTCCATATGATCCAGCAATCCCTTTTCTGGGTATATATCCAGAGGAATGGAAATCATCATGTTGAAGAGATACCTGCACTCCCATGTTCATCGCAGCTCTCTTGAGCCAAGACATGGAACCAACCTAAATGTCCATCGATGGATGACTGGATAAGGAAACTGTGGTTTATATACACCATGGAATACTACTCTGCCATAAAAAAGAATGAAATTCTCCCATTTGCAACAACATGGATAAACTTGTGTTGAGTGAAATAAGCAAAGCACAGAGAGAAAAATACCACACGTGCTCACTCATAAGTGGGAGCTAAGAGAGAAAGAAGGAAAGAAAGACCACAGTGGTGCATTGGACTTGCAGAGGGAGAGAACACACCTAGGGATACAAAGTGGAGTGGGGGAAAGGGGGAGGGAGAGGGAGATCGGGATTAATTGGTGGGGGACATGGTGTATAATCACAATTTGTGGTAATGGGCATGCTGCCTGTATTGATCTGGCCATCACATCTTGGGCATGAGTGGTGATGGTCAGCTTTGTACCCCATGAATATTCATAACCAATTAAAAAAAAGTTTCCACACTGGACTTGGGTTGGGAGAGGGGCATTTGTAGTCTGCAACTCACCATTCGAACGGAATACAGAATATGGCCGTAGCAATGGGCTATGACGCCCACGGGCACCACCAGGCAGCCGAGAAACAAGAAGAGCACAAAGGAGGAATCATTGGCATTCTTGGATTTCCAGTCGACTGTGCAGCCTAGGCCGTGGATGTCCAGGATGTACCTGTTCCAGCCCAGGAGAGGTGCTCCTGCCCATGCCAGTGAATAGAGCCAGATGTAGGTGATGGCCCTCCAGGCCCAGGAAAAATTGATCACTCTGGCATGGACCACGCGAATATACCGTTCATAGGCCAGCACGGTTAGGGTGGCAATGGAAACAATCCCTGCAAGAAGAGAAAGTGGAAAAGTAGTGCATGGTGTGGGCAGGACCAGACCTAAGACGGGAAATTCCTTCTCCACTGGAAACTCCTTAACAGAGTACCTGAGACCCATGGGGTGCCATCAAGCTAAAAGATCTAAGAGTAACTATGCCCCATAGTCCCCAGGAAATTCAACTGGAAACTTATTTACCATAAAAGACAACACAGAATAGAAGGTGGCATGCAGATCATGGGATAAAAACAGAAGTCCTGAAATCAACTCCACCCCAATGAGGCAGTTATCGTATTAAATTTCCCACCAAAGAGAAACTCTGGAGCGAGTCAGGGAGAGTCACTGGAGCAAGTGTTTTAGTTTTGCCTTCTCCAGGCTGCACGTGACTGGATTGTTAGAAATAAGGTCAGAGTGGGTTCTGCCAGCTCACACTGACTCAAGTCATGGTGAAATTACACAGAGGGCTGCTTGTGCTGCCTGCTAGCAGGTGGCAGTCTATGAGCTGCTCACATGCAGGGACTGCTGACAAGGGGGCAAGTCCTCTGCGCTCCCAAGGTCTTCATTCATACCTCTATTTTACAACAAAGCCACATTAACAATTTCATTTGTGTATCTCTCTGTCACTCCAGAGAGAGTGATTTATTCACTCAACAAGCACCTATTGAGCACCTACTGTCTGCTGGGTACTGGACGTCTGGTGATGACCAACAGGCAGGAACAGGGAACACAGACATGAAAACAACCAGAACACTATAGGATGGGGAAATGCTACAATTGAGACACAATGTACTGGAGCCACTGAATAGGGAACATCTGTGCATGAGGCAGGAGACACACATTCCGGGAAGAATGGAGACTTATGTACCAGAGAATAGAGGTGTCAAAGGACATGGAAGGGTCTATAAAATGGTGAGAGGATTCAGAGATGTCAGGGTTCAGAGGAGGTGGAGAAATTTAGAGAGAGCAGAGGAGGCCACACTGAGAAGGGCTTTTAATTTCTAGCTAAGATGTTTTCTTCCTGTTTTGTTTTTTAACCTTTTCCTGTATAACATAGTAAATTACAAATCTGTCACTCTCTTGCCCTTTCTAAACATGGAAGTGATACAGTTAAATTGTCCTTTTGTTCCTACTCCTCTTTTGTCTTCTGAAGGACACTCATCCTAGCAGGAGTATAGAACTCGAAACACAGTCCAGGGCCACGGGAACCTGCTGGAAGCTACTGCAATGGTCCAGGCAGGATAGGATAGGGCCTCACCTAGGGTAACGTCAAAGGCAAGAGCAGAGAAGTCGATTCCAGAGACATTCAGCAACTAATATCAACAGAACCCGTCTGCTTACTGGATGTGAGGAGAAGGGGAGAGGGTTAAAAATAACTTGAAGATGTCCAACCTGCCTAATGAGTAGAGATTATATTAACCAAGATAAAAACTGCAATGCGTATGAGCAGATATGGGAAAGAAAATGGAATTGTGAGCTCCCTAGAACACATTAGCACAAATATTTGTAGAATGAGTGGATGGAGAGAGGTTCGAGAAAAAGTGGTTCTAATCGAGGATAAAAACAAGGCTGGTCTCCTGAGCAGCAGGTAAGGGTGGGGGAGGTTGTTAAGAGACCTGGGGGCAAGTGCCAGATCCCCATTAAGAAGCTCTGTAGGGGCCGGCCCGGTGGCGCACTGCTACAGTGTGCCGCTTGGGAGCTCAGCAGCGCTCCCGCCGAGGGTTCGGATCCCATACAGACTGGCAGCTCACTGGCTGAGCGAGGTGCGGGCGCAACACCGAGGTTTGCGATCCCGTTGCCGGTCCCGGTCCGGTACGGGTGCAACACTGAGGGTTGCGATCTGTTGCCGGTCACGAAAAAAGACAAAAAGGAAAAAAAAAAAAAAAAGAAGCTCTGTAACTGTCAGCAAATCATACAGTCTTTTCAGACTTTAGTTTTTGTTTTCATAAAATTGAAAATCCTTTCACATTATAAAATTTTGTTTTTCTGTAGTTATGAAAGTGTGAAATGACGAGGCCCTGAATTTGGAAAGCAATTTGCAGAACGTAGTTAATATTCATTTACACCATGAGAGGTTTCTGCTGTTGTCGAGGGAATGAGGGACAGTATCGTTCTTAGTGTCTGATATGTACGGCGTCCAATTAATGCTCGTTGAACAAATAAATAAACGTTTACTAAATACTTAAGTGATTGGTGAAAGAAGATTGGGTTTTGGAATACATTGGAAGGAAATACTTCAGAATGTGACATAATAGCAAATAGTAAACTTAAATTCAAATTATAATAAGTAATTATGAGAACAAGGAAAGTATCAAGTTAGATGTGCTGTCTTCAAAAATCTATTTTTACCTTCTTAAATTTTTACCTAAAGGGTGATATTATCCTTTCTTTAACTGATGATAGTCCTAGAAGGAAATCTAAAAACCTTAAGACAGAGACATAGTAAGCTGACTCTAATGAAAGACTGTGGATCTTATTTATTTTATAAACTTTTAAATCAAATATAATGGTATTTAATTTTATAATTGCCTCTAAATGTTAAAACATAGCTTGACCTTCAATTTTAGTTAATTTACATTGAATATGATTTAGTGCTTCTCAGGCAAGATAACTTAGCGCAAATAATTGCATGGTTGTGAATTAGTAAGTCTCAGTGTATCTTGGAGATGAATAAATGGGTTCATTTAATGGAAAAGGATTAAGCCGGTACAATAAGCTGGTCTGAGCATGCCATTAAGCTCATATACTCTTTCATTTAGTCATTAACTCTTTATTGCTCATCTATATGCATCCATCATTGTGCTAGAAAATAGAAATAGGTAAGTGAAACAAAGTGCCTCATGGAACCTGAAGTCCGGTGGGTAAGAGAGAAAATGTTTAAAAATCAAACAAGTAAATTAGTGCAGTGCTATGAAGGCAAGAGAGGGCAGAGATCAAGCATAATGTGAGACATGGTGGGAGGGGACTTGTAGAGGACACAGTGGTATTGACAGTGTCAGGAAAAGCCTCTATGCTCAGAGCTTCGTGTATGAAAACCCCCAGCTTTGATAAGGGTCGGGGTGCAGGATGGTAGTGAATTTTTCCTTCTCATTATTTAGGTCAAAGAGATTTAAAAAATCTATTGCATGGGTATGTCTTTGCAAGCACAATGAGTTTCAAGTGCCTGATTTCAGTCACCAACATTCAGTCCCCTGACAGGTTAGTACAGATCTAGGGAGAGCAAACCTGTATTTCTCAGGCCCTCCCTGCCAGCGTGTGTATAGAAATGAATGGCAGTTTTAGTCAAGACTTAGTCTTTGAAGGTGACCTATTTGCAATGTATCTTCCTTGCAAAATATGTAGCAGTCTTCCCCACCACCAGTGCTTTATTTAGCAATGAATTTTGGTGCTGTGTCAAAATTATTTGCTATATTCTATTTGATCCCCAGAACACACTCCAGGAGAATGAGAATGAATGAACTGTCTTAAAACTACTTTACACGTCCATTTTAACCGATGTTGAGCTCAATTATTCCACGCGGTGCATCTGTTTTTCTTAACACTATGGAAAACAAAGAAGATGACTACTGCAAACTGAGCACTGGTTATGCATCAGGCCCCGTGATATTCACTCCACATATGATATCTTTCCTTTTAGAAAATGGGGTCTGTGGCTCAGAAGGGTTAAGGATTCAACTGGTGGTGGAGACAGTTGAAAAGAACCTAGGACTGACTCCAAAACCCACGAGTTTGCCTTTACACCATCTGCTGCCACCAGAGGGTGATGTCCCCCCCCCAAATTCTATTAGGGATAGAGTGATGTCCCAGCCCTCCCTGCA